GCGGAGAGATTGGAAGAATCCAACCTCATACACAAGTCAATAAAAATATTCTCGGACAGTCAAGCGGCGTTGTAAGCTCTTGGCTCCTACCGAGCAACGTCTAAATTTGTAGCAAATTGCCAAAATCGACTCTCCTTGATAGGACGACTTAACATATTGTCTCTGTTGACTCCCTGGCAAAGGAGGGTGCTGCAAGTAGCTTCATAGGACCAGAACCTGTCATTGGCATCGCTTCATGTTTTGCCAAACAAACACATTGAACACCTGGATGGCAAGAATATTTAAAGGCTTCTAGCAAAACCTTCCAGGATTGGCTTACTCCAAGGCGTTCATTCACCTTTCGAAGCTTGAAACCAAACAGTTGTTGGACTACACTAGTGATGAATTACGATGTCTTACAGGCCTTCTCATAGGCCACTGTCATTTGAATCATCATATGCAGAGACTCGGATTGTCGGAAGAGACTGTTTGTCGCCTCTGTTTGGAAAATGATGGAACAGAAGAGCACGTACTTTGTGCCTGCCCCGTTGGGCACCGAATCAGATTTTTTGAGGTTGACAGAGCCGTACTCTTACCATCTGACCTGAAAGACCACTCACCACTGGACAGTTTACAAAACAGCAACACGTTGTTTCGCTATACTCGTGCAATAGCGTCCTCGAGCATATGAAGACGCTTGAAGAAGCTATTGTATAGCAAAACACGTATTGCGGCTTTCTAATCTGTCTAGTGGAAATCTCACAAAGTGATACTTAAATAAGTTATGGGTTTTCATTAAGTATCGGCCAATTCTATCACAAATGATGTATTCGTGTCTTTAGTTGTGTTGTATCGTAACATTCAAAGTAAAATCAAATATCTACAAGTATGCATCTACTTCGACTCCCGGACTATAAAATCATAACTCACTTCGCACATTTGCAACTGAAAGAGACGCCTCTCTTTCTCCATTTCGTCGGCAATCTCGGGTGCAGTCACTTCCGATCTAATCAATCCAGCATCTTTGGCCTGTTGCTTTTTTTCCTTTTCGATTTTCGCGTATTTGCTCTCGTAATCCTTCCAAGCTTTATCGAATGGCCTCTTCAAGTCCCCTTTCACTCCCCTCAAATCACCTTTCAGCAGGTTGTCCAGCGGAAACATGACTATGTTATTCAAATTTTGCATTAGAGTTTTCATGAGAGCGGAAAGTTCTTGAGTTACTACGGCGAATTTTAAAAAAGCGTTTCCTATAATTTCTTCGTGTTCTTTGGAAGTGGCGTTTTGGCCAATTTTTTCAAGCGCTTTCACCAAGTAGGATTCGTTATCCACATGACCTGAAACATAAAATAATTTTAAAATGCGATAAAAGGAATACAAGACGAGTTGGAGAAGTGATGTTTTGATTAGACTCATATCATGAGTCTAATCAAGGGGAGATGAGGGGATGTCCACAGGGAGGGGTCTTGTCCCCCCTTCTCTGGAACATAGTTGTGGATACCCTAATTAATCACCTTAACAAAAATGGATTCTACACAATTGCATACGCAGATGACATAGTTATCTTGCAGACCGGCAAATTTGTAAACACACTGTGCGATAGAGCGCAGGATGGGCTCAAATTGATAGAAACATGGTGTAAGGAACACTCACTGTCGATCAATCCCAAGAAGACTGAGATGGTCCTTTTCACCAGGAAAAGAAGTTTAACGGGCTTAAAACCTCCCGAAATCTTCAAAAGCCAACTAAACTTCTCTGAAGAGGTGAAATACCTTGGTATTATCCTCGACAAGAAGCTAACATGGAACTCTNAAGAAGCTCAAGAGTGGGGTTCGTTGGTTGGACTTATCATTTATTACTATCTCAAAGCTCAGACCAGCTAGTAGGATTCAAGAATATTCTATGACTTTTTCTGATGCTATTACTTAGTTCTGACATGAAAATAGTAGTAGTATCAGAAACAGAGTAATAGTATCATTCACTCAAAAACGAAATCAACTCTCAAATGTGATTGCGTTAATTCAAGGCTAAACTTTCATATTCTACAACACAACGAATTGAGAATTCCTTTGCTTGATTCTTCTCAGTTCGACTTATTTCGAATGGATTGAAATTTTTATCAAAGCAAAGATAAGAGTTGACCTCCTTTCATGTCACTCATATTTGAAATAATTGAGAAACACGGAACTATAAATGCTAGCAGACATCAATAGATCTAAATAACCAGGTATATTTTACATTTCAAAAGACTTATTTTCTCTACTTTTCAGTTTATTTTATTTATTCCTAGTCCTGTTATAGTTTTCAAACTCATTATTTTGTGTAAGGTACCAATTTTTGTAACTATGAAAAGAGCATACTGCCAGAGGATACAACTTTAGGCCATAACACTTGGATCAAGCTATGCCACGTTGAGCTCGGCCCCTAAATACGTGTCAAAAAATGACCATTGATGATAATTCACCAACGGGTATGTGAAACTGTTGAAACAAGTAAATACAAATTAAAAATGTGCTTAAACTCGATGCGAGTGGTCGGAGTGGCCTTGCGTTTACGCAGTTACTTTTATTAAGAACTTTTCTCGGTTATTCACATTTTGTCTTCAATCGGGGACCGCCTGTCCGGTACTGACGATGCCCAATAGGCTGAAACAGCTGTCTACCGGTGGTTCTTCAATTGAAATCAATATGGAAATAAATGGTCAGAATGGTACTTATCCATTTATCTTTTGATTTTCATGGAGTTATTTTCCAGCAGCTTGACTGCACTAACCTTTCTTGGTTTCATATCACTTCTAGAAATATGCGGATTCGTTTTCCGATGGCCTTAGAGGTTAACTTCCCAAATTTCAGCTACCGCAGTTGTCGGTTGATTGGTCAAACCAGTAACACTGACATAAAAACTTAGCAAGTTGACTTGGGTGTCACACTAATAGGTGGTTCCACT